TGTCGTCTTCACAGTGATGCTTCCGAAATAACACTCGAAAAGATCGAGCGAGAATATCGTGATCATAAACCAATTTCGTGGTACACGGGACCATATTTTATCTACTCAATGCTCAATCGTGGTCTTCGACTAATGGATGTTGATGTTATACTAAAAATGGGCTTTTTTATTCGCCATCTACATCAACATATTACAGACTTACATCGCGAACAGCAAAATAGCAAAGCAGCCATGCCATCAAAATTTCAAGTTTTTCGTGGTCAAGGCTTATCCATGGAAGCCTTTGAAAAAATGAAAAAAACCAAAGGTGGACTTATGTCCTTTAATAATTTCTTATCGACAAGTCGTAATCGTGATATTTCTTTCAAAAGCTTTGCACGGCCAGCAGCATTCGATGCGAATTCAGTTGGCATCCTTTTCATTATGAGCATCGATACGGTCATTTGCACAGCTTCGTCGACACCTTTCGTTAACGTGAAAAATGTTGGCTTCTTCGACGATAAAGAAGAAGAAATTCTTTTTTCGACACATACAATTTTTCGCATCGATCGTATAGAACCTATTGAAGATAAGCATACAGATCGTCTCTGGCAAGTCAATCTCACCCTTGCTGGTAATCAAGATGACGATTTTAACAAATTAACAGCACATTTACGCGAAGATATTGCAGGGACTACAGGATGGTCTCGATTCGGTGATATACTCATTAGTGTGGGTAAGTTTGAAAAAGCAGGACATCTCTATGAATTACTCCTTGAAAAAGCCTCTTCTGACAAAGAAAGATCGGAATACTATTTTCAACTTGCTAGGGTGTACGAAGACATGGGCGAAAATTCGAAAGCACTTAAATATTACGGAAAAAACCTCGAATTTAAACAAAAAACTCTCCCTCCGAATCATCCCAACTTGGCTACTTCCTACAACAACATCGGTTTGGTGTATTATAACATGGGCGAGTACTCGAAAGCACTTTCATCACACGAACGATCACTTGAAATCCAAAAAACAGCTCTCCCTCCGAATCATCCCGACTTGGCTTCTTCCTACAACAACATCGGTCTGGTGTATTATAACATGGGCGAGTACTCGAAAGCACTTTCATCGTACGAACGATCACTTGAAATCTGGAAAATAGCTCTCCCTCCGAATCATCCCTCGTTGGCTGCTTCCTACAACAACATCGGTTTGGTGTATGATGAAATGGGCGAGTACTCGAAAGCACTTTCATCGCACGAACGATCACTTGAAATTCGAAAAATAGCTCTCCCTCCGAATCATCCCGACGTGGCTACTTCCTACCTCAATATCGGTGTAGTGTATCAAAACATGGACGAGTACTTGAAAGCACTTTCATCGTATGAACGATCACTTGAAATCCAAAAAATAGCTCTCCCTCCGAATCATCCCGACTTGGCTACTTCCTACAACAACATCGGTATGGTGTATGATAACATGGGCGAGTACTCCAAAGCACTTTCATCGTATGAACAATCACTTGAAATCCAAAAAATAGCTCTCCCTCCGAATCATCCAGACTTGGCTCACTCTTACAACGGTATCGGTGCAGTGTATGATAACATGGGGGAGTACTCGAAAGCATTTTCATATTGCGAAAAGGCGCAAGACATATGGAAAAAATCACTACCTTCAAATCATCCACATATTGCACTTGTGAAACGAAACATTGACAAAGTAAAAAAGAAAATGTAATTCTTTTTTTTTTAAACGAGAAAATAAATTGGTCTTCTTGAACACGTTTAGCTAGCCGAAGCGCACCAGTTGCAATAATTTCCAGTACGCACGACCAGGGATACCCTCCGTATTCTGTTGGGTTGTACAGTGGACAAAGTCGGCAATGATAAGGCAAACATATATTTATGTATGTATGACTAGTACATCCATGATCATCATCTTCCGAAAGACGATAACGAGATGAATGCTTCTAGTCATACATACATAGATGTATGTTATAAAGGCCTATCATCTACACGCCTGTATAGGTTACCAACAGAACGTCGGATATCCCTGGAAAGGTTCATTTTGTTTTAGAGCCACCCTCAAAAGGTCCGTTTGATTTAATTTTTTTTTCTTCTGTTACGAAGAACGAGAAGAAAGACGACGTTGACGGAATTTTAATACGCAGCGTATAATGACAACCGGTTGTTTTAACGCATGCTGTGATATTGAGTGCACGATATCTACGTCGTCTTTACACATGTTATGTTTAATTTATTTTTCTTTTCGTCTGGAATGTGTAAGAACAAATGAGATTTCGTGCCCTCAATATCATGCTATAAGAGTGATGACTGAACGAAAGAAGAACACAAAAAAAAAATTATCGACTATTCTCTTTGATTAGTAACGTACATATATATAAGAGATAATTGAAAGAAAAAAATGAAAAAGGAATTTTTATAAATTTAATCGTTTTGTTATTTATTACATCAGGTTTTACAAAAATATTATTTTACGATCATATTGATTGAATATAACATAATAAAACAGAAGTTCAAATAGATCAAGTGCAGTAGTTGATTTTTTTTAAATAATAATTTACGGTCAAAATTATGGATCTAATATAAAGATTTGTAGAATAGTTTTTCGTTCATGCATTGATGAAGGTGAATATTCAATCGACGTTAGACTTTTTCCGTCAACTATTCATTCATTTATTATGATTATCAAAAAATGTTTAAACTTATTTATTTAGCTTTAAAATAAATGAATTCAATATAAATTAAACAAAATGGCTAAACTAAGTAAATCACTTGAAGTTTTAAAATTATTTTCAACAACAACATGTTATCGAAAGTTTTTTTTGCTCTAGAGATAAAGATGAAAATAATTTTAAATTAGTTACGGCTATTGTAAAAGTATTATAAAAGAAATTCTTTTTTTTTAATAATTTTGATGAATTATAAAATAGGATTATAAAATATAATCCTAATGTTGAATAAAAAGCATTCAAAGGTTTGTTTTATTTCAATTTCAACTAGATGTTCTATGGCGATTTGACGAATCAGCAATTGCAATACATTCGAAAAAGATTCAACCATTTTATTAGAATATAATGAACTTTTTTTTATATTCTTGGTTGATCAATTAATGATGAAAAAATCAAAGTAAGTAAAAAAGAAAATTCTTCCCATCTAAGAAACCTCTTCTAAAGAAGTAATCAGAAAAAAGTTGTGCGATTGAATAGAAACATAGAAAACGATTGTAGAATAGGTAGTCACATACTATTCGACGAAATACCGATTGAGAAACTGTCCATCATTTGCAGTAAGAATAATAAAATTTTATTTATCATTAAATATCAATGAGAAATGAAATAAATTAGTCATAGTTGATTCACTAGCAATCGTTATAGTTAAGGTATGAAGTTGAGTGAGAATGAATTTTTCTTTTTTTTTCCTAATATTAATAATAAATTATTTTCAGGAACCTCTCATGTCCTATTCAGTCAATATGTTATCCTACGAATATAGCACATTTTCTAATGATAAATGTAATTGGTAAGTTTTCTTTCAAATAATTATTTCAATTAATTAGAATTTGTCTTTTATTTTAACAGATCAATTATTTGAGTATTATAATCAAAATCATAGTACAAATTTTAATAATTGGTTATCTTAAATTAAATATCAAAAAATTTCAATCATCATCAAGAAAAAGTCAACGATCAATAACAAGAACTAGAAATACTGGTACAAATGAACAATATCTTTCAATCAGTATTTGACAAATAATGAATGATTTTATTTTCTATGTAAATCTTTATTTTTTAATATGTTGACACGATATTTTATATTTATTTACAACATAAAAGATCATAATGTAATATGAAATTCATTGGAAACACATGAAATTATATTTAAATTTATTTGATTTTGATCAATTATTAATTTCAATTCAAATTGGATCTATAGAAGTAACTTGTATTAGTCACACATTAAACACAGGTAAATATTGTGAAAAGAGAACAACAAGCTTTTATTTTTTCTAAAATAATAGATTATTCAACATATCAACGTTGATTTATTGAAATTAATAAACAACACGATATTTTAGTATATAAAATGAATGATGAATTATATTCAAAATCAATGATTAATAATGAAAAACAAACATCAGTTGCTAAACTTGTTAATCAATTATGTTTTTTTTTCCAATTAGACATTTGCTCAATGTGTTAATTATTTGATTATCCTACTGTAAGTATGTTTAATGCTTGTTTGAGACTGTTTTTTTGTAAAGTTTCAGTTCAGTAAAATGCATTTATTTTATAATCCAAAATTATTTCCAATGTTGTAACAGTAGGAGAACTCAGATGAATAGGATAAATCTGATGAAGGAGCTTGTAACAGAGTTTAGTTAACGTGGCTTCAATTGGCTATGGTCTCAAAGTTTTAGTGAAAGTTATCTGATAGATATGAAGATTTTACTATTGAATTGTTGAAACAAAACGATATGAAATTTTAATCTTTTTGAAACCAACAAAAGACTAGAACATTATCAGACTCGAAAATATATCAAGTAGAACACTTTACTAAATAGGTTAGACATACAAAAGTTTTAGAGTCTTTATATATCAGAGATTGAAATTATACAATCACATAATTACCTCAAAAAAAAAGTTCGAAGCTAAAGTACGAATTCTGTACATATCTAGTACGAAAGAGATGTTCGGTTTTTCATTATGATATGAAATCAATTGTATTCTCGAGTGAGTTTTTCTTTAATCTTTGAAGATTTCTGATTAAATAAAAATTTTGTAATTGATATGAAATTCTTATCTCTATATGACTTGGAATGCATTAAAATCTATCGAACATCGAGGTAGACGATCTACATTTATGTGATACATATGCAAATTTCTTTCCTTGCTACATTAATTAAAAAGAACAATTCATCTTTTAAGGCTATTATCATTATCAAATTCATTTAATAATTCTTTTATTAATGAATATTCACTTGTATCAATTGATTCACAAGGCAGTTCAAGGTTAGATTAGAATTAGAATATTAAATCGTCTCTTATTTTTGATAAAAATATGTTTTCTTTTTGTTTTTAAATATATTCAATTAGGTATATTAGCAGAATTACTTTCTACATTTCGATTATGTCTTTAGGATAATGATACACATGTTATACATTTACAATCATAGGAATTGAATTATTAGAAGATTCTACTCAACATAGTACAAGTTCTTATATTCTTGCTAAAGTACACAGATGAAACTTATGATTACAATAAACTGTTTATGTGTATAAAATAGGTTGCTCTAGCTCAAATTGTGCGTAATATTGATTTTCTTGAATACTAACTTATCTTGAACAACAACAATAACAGATAAAAAAAAACAGTAAATTAAAACTAATCACATATAGAAGATAAAAGCAATATCTTGGTTTTTTTTGTTTTACTTTTATTTTTAAAATCGATCATGACTTGATCATTGTATTGACATTATCTTTCTATTTCTTATTGATAATGATACAAGTGTTCGTCCAGCAGCTACTTTAACTTTTGCTAAGTATGTCAATTGTAGAGATGTTAGTTAACTAGATAGTTTTATTTTCGAAGTTGAATGCATCAGTCGATTTTATTGTATTAAGTTAGTTGTTAGCTACTTTTTGATTTTAACGTTTGTTGATCACAATTCATTTTTTTAGTATATCAATGGATGCATAAAATTCATTATTCATTACAACAAACAAATACTTCTGTAATTATATTCAATGATGAGTGCAATGTGAAACAATATCATACTAACCAACATTAATATTTGATTGCTTAGCTCAAACATCCACTCGAATATAAATTGTTTATTATTTTTGTCTTTTATATAAGTTGGATGTTTAGAAGGTATTTATGCTCTTTCAAATGTTTTAGGATCAACAACAATTCGATCATTTTTTTTTCATAATCAATATGATGAACTTTGTTAACTTATACATCTATTTGTATGAAATGATCTTAATAATTTACAATTATTACTCGATAATAATAATTTAATTTTTTGAAGATTTATCAAATCTTAACAAATAAAAAATGTTTTTAAAGTAGCACAAATGATTCAAGTTATTCAAAAATTGAATTATTTTATTAATGTTCTTGAACTATTGCAAAAAACTTCACAATCATCATTTTTGTTGGGCAGAAGATCATTTTCTATAATTGATATTTCAACTTTCGTAGAAGAAAGGAGTTCTAAAGTTTTAGATTTGAAGAATGTATTGGATCATGTCTTGTCTGAATGAATTCATTTGTTTTTTTGTTTTAGAGAATGATAAAGATTCATCAATAATATCAAACACAAATAAACATACAAAAGTTAATTTTGAACGATTACTTTCAACAACATTATTTTCTATAAAATCAGTAGTAAGTCTTATTTCTACACAAGATTTATTAAAAAATTTGGAAGAAACACTTAATTATTTAAAATCAACGTTCAATGTACAAAAGAGGTAAAACTTCTTTTAAATAGTACATATTAGTTAGAAA